GCTGGTCTGCATTAGTCTCATTTTTCCAATCGCCATTGGAGCTGTGGGTGCCCTGGAGGTGCCCGAGGCCATGGCTGAGCCCTGGGCAGCCTGAGCCCTTGGGATGGGGCTGGGGGTTCCCTACCAAAACAGCCATGCTGTGATTCCATGGCTCAGTGATCTTTAAGGACCCTTCTAGCACAGCCATCCCGTGGTTCTGTGATACGGAAGGTCATGGCCGTGCAGCAGCAGTCCTTGTTCCTCATGGAGGGGCTTTACAGGGCAGGGGCACAGAATAAGAGCAGAGCTGCTGTGAACTGAACGCCAGCAGAAGCTGGTGACTGCAGGTGGGATTTGGGGCAGAGCAGGACAGGGGCTTCTCTAAAGGCTGCCTTCCTGGGCCCAGTTCTTGTAGTCCAGCATCAAAGCTTGGCCATCCAGGTTGGGGATCCACTGCGTTTCCTTTAGGTCTGGTGTATGAATGCATCCCCGAGAGCCGGTGGAAGCCCCTTCATTGCAGGCACCCGAGGTCAGGGGCTGGGCTCTGAGCACCCGCTGGGTTGCAGGGAGTTGGGTTGGGGGACCTTCAAGGTCCCTTCCAACTCCAGCCTTTGGTCCTGTGAGTCCGCAGGGGGGGTCGGCTCCTCGGAGCTGCACTCATCAGTTTGGCTCTGGGCCCGCAGAGCTCTGCCCTCCATCCCGGCTCCGAGGGGGCGCTGAGCCCACAGGGGAGGGCGGAGGGGCTCAGACGTCACCCCCCGGCGCCCCGTCTCCTATTGACCGCTCCTGTCGTCCTCCCCACCCCATTGTTGTCTCCTTGTAGGCTGAGGGCAGCGCGGAGCCAGAGCAGCTCCCGCCAGCCCCTCAGAACGGAGAGGTGCGAGCGGCGCAGGCAGGCAGCGCCCTGCAGGAGAATGGCGTAGGGCCGGCGGTGCCCACTGCCCTGAGCGGTGGTGACCAAAGGGAAATTCAGAGCTTCGAGACTCAGATACAAGAAACAAGTAAGTGCCCGCGCTTCTCATCACGCTGCCGGGGGGTGGGAGAGCACCGGTCGCACCCCGCTGTCCTCCCAGCGTGGAACTGTTTGTAGCGACGGCCGTAGGGCTCCTGCTGTTGTTTTAACTCAGAAAATTGCCTTTTATCTTCCAGGCATCTAACGATGACATTCTGCTATCGTCTCCCGTCCCCTTCTCCCCCTTCTCTCCTCTCCCCGTCCCTCGCCCCCCCCCCCCCCCCCCCCCCCCCCCCCCGCCCTTTGTCGCTGCAGATTGAATCCCACAGGCTGACGTTCCGTGAGAAGGCGAAGGCGCGCACCGACCACGGAGCGGACATCGTCGTCGCCTCCAAACCCCCCACCCTCCCCAGCAGCACCTCTGCCAGCGACAGCCCGGCCTCCCCGCCACCGCCGCAGCCGCCGGCTCTCCCCGCCGCGCTCCCGCAGCAAGGCTTGTGACCCCCCGCCCCGCGCCCCGTAACGCAGCTTGGCTCTCTTCACGCGGCCTCCGGCTTCACGCGGGACGGGGATTTGCCCAGCGGCCCCCTCCCCTTGGCTTTGGGGGTTTGGGGGTCGGTGCTGTGCTGTCCCGGGGGCTCCGGGGGGAGCGCGGCGGCGGCCGGGCCGAGTTAATAGGGATAAGCTGTGATTTCTTTCTTTTTAAGAGAACCCCCTTTTCCTCCTCGCTGCTTCGTTCCCTGACCCCATTGACGCTGTTACCACACACGTTAGGGCTGTTTTAACTGTTGACTTTTACCTTTTATTCTTTGTGACGACGTGTTGATGATTTATCGTGCTACAAACCCACACCGAGGTTCCTTTCCTCTTTCCTTAACCATAGCAGAGTAGGGACATTAACCGCTGCTGCAGTGCTGCTTCTTACTGACATATCCAGCAGTCGTAACTTTTGTTGTTGGTTGGTTGTTTTGTTTTGTTTTCTTTTTTTTTTTTAATATTTTAAAAACGATGGAGCAAATTCATGGGATTAAGCCATGTCCGAAAGAGAAAGGCGTAGGGATGTGTTGAAGGAAAGCTTCTTGGTGAGCAGCTCGGGCAGAGCTGTGTTGGCTGCAGCCGGACGCGTTGCGTTGGTGCCGGCCCCGCTGTGCGGCGACGTTGGGTTGGCTGTCGGTTGGATTTTGGCTGGTTGTTGGGTGTTGGTTGGCTGTTGGCTTTTGGTTGTTGGTTGGTTGTTGATTGCTGGTTGGATGTTTGTTGGTTGGCTGTTGGCTTTTAGTTGTTGGTTGGCTGTTGGTTGGATTTTGGCTTGGTTGGCTGTTGGCTGGTTGTTGGATGTCAGTTGGCTGTTGGTTGTTGATTGCTGGTTGGCTGTTGGTTGGCTGTTGGTTGGTGGTTGGCTGTTGGTTGGCTTTTGGCTGGTTGTTGGATGTCAGTTGGCTGTTGGCTGTTGGTTGGTGGTTGGCTGTTGGTTGGTGGTTGGCTGTTGGTTAGTTGTTGGTTGGTACAGCCCAACTCGGGCTCATTCTGGCTGGAGGCTGAGCACGGGCTGTGCAGCTCTGTGGGCTCCTGGGCAGCTCCATGGCTTTGGGGCAGCTCTGTGGATTTGGAGCAGCTCTGTGGGTTCTGGGAAACCCCGTGGTTGCAGGGCTTGGAGTGGGGCTGGGAAGTGCAGAGGGTTTGTGGCTGTGGAGCCGGGGAGGTGAGCTGCTGCGTGAGGCCGGAGCTCCTCGTTCCGTGTTTGCAAAATGACACTAAAAAAAAGATGAGATGTAAATAAAAGAAAAAGAAAAAAAATAATAATAATAATAAACCAGAAAAGCCGTTCTTGGGTCGTCGAAGTAATTTAAAGAGAAAAAAAAAAGCAAAAAAAAAAAAAGCAAAAAAAAAAGAAAAAGCAGAATAATGAAACACTGGGATCAAAGTCAATGGAGGGGAGCAGGCGCTGCCGGGGGCTGCGCGGAGGGGCGGAGGGAAGCTGATGGCTTCTCAGCTTTGTGGGAACGGTTCTTGGGGAAGCCGACAACGACACGATAACCCGGAATCTGTATTTACACACAAAGATTCTTATTGCACTTGTATTTTTTATATTAAAGTTTGCATGATTTCTAATAAAATGGCATTAAAATGTACTAGTTTGCATCCAAGTCGTCTGCTAGTTTCATAAGTGCTTTTTTTTTTTCCTCTGGATACAAATTGAAACGAGCAATGCAGATTTGCACCTGAGCGGGGCGGTTATATATACCCACAGCCCTGCTGCCTTCCTCCTCCTCCTCCTCCTCCTCCTCCTCCTCTTCACCACCTCCCCCCTGTGCCCCCCCAGCTCCACTGAGCTCCTCCTGCCCCACTCCCCCCCCAGCCTCCTGCACACCCCCCAGTATATATCACTGCCCCTCCGCTGCCGCTTCCTTCTTTCCATTGCTAAATTCTGAACACCAGAGCTCCATCTCTGCAATCCATCGATACGTATTTTTTATTTCTATTTTTTTTTTTTTTAGTTTTTTTTTCCAGCACTTTTGGAATAGGGCTGTTGGAAAGAGGGGGCTCAGGGCAGCTCAGCCCCTCCGCCTCTCCTCCCAGAGCCGGACCGGAGCGCGTGTGGGGCCGGTGCTGCTCTGAGTCCCCATAGAGGCAGACGTGGCCCCGCTCAGCTCCAGCACTGCTGTAGGAAAGCGATGGCAACGCTGCACTTTATCTTTGCACTGCGTTGGGTCGCTGTGCTCGCTGTGCGACGGCTGCGGTGCCGCTCGGGGCAGCGCTGATGTCGGGAGGCGGCTGCATGCAGTGCGTTGGGTTTTGGCCGTGCATGGAGGCTGCTGGGGGCAGAGCAGGACAGGGAGCGGTGCCTGGAGCTGCCCGAGGGCTTCTGGAACCAAAAGTCTTTTGGGGAGGGCAAAAAAAAATCATCCTGATTACTTTTAATGGAGTTGTGGTTCGACTTTGATGCAACGTGAATGTACGGCCGCGCGGTGCTGAGCGTGGGGCCCGGCGTCGGCTGCAGCGATGGCACAGCGCAGTGCTGGCGGTGGTGGAGATGCTGAGTGCAGGGATGCGCGCTGAGCGCTGTGCCCTGGGCTCGGGGTGGGAGCACGGAGGGGCTCAGAGCGGCCAAGCGGCTGTCGGCCCCCAGGGGGTGTCGTGTCATTGCCGGTGTGGTTACTATGGGCCTTTTTCTACTGTACAAGCAGTTTACTGTCCCGGCTGCGGACTGAATGTAGCGCGCTCTGCTGCCCCTGGGCTCCCCCTGGCTCTCAGTGGTGGCGTTTGGGCAGAATTTCTCAGCAGCGGCCCCCGGGTCTGGGCACAAAGCCCAGGGCACAGCGGAGGAGCGCTCCGTCCTCCACCCCATCCCCACCCGGCTTCCCCGCGGCGCTGCCCGTGCCATCCCTGCACACAGAGCCTCGCTGGCCGCCAGCTGGTGTCTGGGATCCATCAGACACGGGGCTCCTCCCGCACCTCCCGAGCGCTCAGCATCGCTCCGTCACCCCGGGACGTGGGGCAGGATGTGGGGCAGCGCGCGCAGACGCATTCGGCCCCATGTGGGGCGAGCGCAGCTCCAGGCTCCCGGCCCTGGGCAGTCATAGAAGCCCTCTGCCTCAGTTTCCCCACCCGTGGGGGGGACGATGCGTACCTCACTGTGAGGAGTGCGGGGAGCGTTGGCTACGTGTGATGTTTCCTCATTATTTTGTGCTGTACGGAGGTTGTGCTGCAGCTCCAGGGTCGGAGCCGCACAGCAGTGGGGCAGAGGGTCGGGGTCCCCCCTGGGGGCAGTGGGGCAGAGCTGCTCTGTACCCACGCAGGGCTTTGCGTGTCTGTCTCCCGAGCACCATTTCCTGATTTGATGTTGTGATTCTCTTCCTATTGTAAACGAGTTGAAATAAATAAAGCTTCTCGATGTTGCCCTCAGCGTGGCTGCGTTGTTTGTCGGGGGGGAGGCAGCTGGGGGCCCTTGGGGGGCTTCACCTACAACTCTTTGCCCCATAGGCTACAATGGAGAGCACCCAGCCCCCCAACCCTGCCCCACGTACAGCCCCGCTCCCATTGAACAGAAGGACGAGGACAGAGGCCGTTACTACTCTATCCCTTTTTATTGTCTTTAATCTATGTTGTAAAAAGATCCAGTATCACATAACAGCCACTGAAGTATCCCAATATCACACTAGTTCTGAACCATTTAGACAATAGCTTAGTCTTTTTTTGTTTTTAAACCTGCTGGAAGGGAAGAAAAAAAACAAAAAAAAACCAAACAAAAAAAACCCAAACCCATCCTGCCCCTCATACAGGCTGAAAGAAACAAACACCGCTCAACTCAGAGTGACAACCTCAAGCAAGTGAAATGAATGAGTTCCGCACGCTGCGCCCATCGCCGCCCATCAGTTCGCACGGCCGGGGCTGCAGCTCCGCTCCTAAAAGGCCGTGAGGAGGAAACGAAATCGCAGTGCAGAACAAAAAGGGGCCCCGGCGCTGACTTCAGGTACAAAGAGCGTAAGAAATGGTGAATAAAAACAAAACGTGGGCCCTCAGCATCGCCCCTGCACTGCCCGCGGCCCGCAGGGGACGAACGGAACGAAGCCTCACAACAGCCCTGTGAGGTAGGTGGCACCGACAGGGACCGAACTCCAGAGCTCCTTCACTGCAGTGCCGTCCCCGTCCTCCTCCTGCAAACGTGGTCCCCGCTCGTACAAAACAAAGGCTCTGTGCCTGTGCTCCTGGCCGCCTGCAGGAGCCGCGCTCGCAGGCACACTGACAGCGACAGCGGGGTCCTGCGGTGCACAAGGCCAGGGATCCGAGCTCCTGGGCACGGGGAGGACGAGAAATCATACAAAAATCATAAGAACAACGCAAGAGACAAAAAGTACAGGCAGGCCGGGAGCAACGAGTCACGTCTCACAGGGTGCCAAGGCCCCGCGGATCCCAGGCGTCACCGATCCCGTGCCGAGCGTCGCCGCCGCGTCTTCCTTCCCTGTGCCGGGCTGGGAGCCGTGGAGCTGCACTGCTGCTGCTGCTGCATCCGAAGGCTGAGATCCGCATTCCAGAGCTGGAGCTCAGCTCTGCCCAGCGCTGCTCCCTCCCGGCCCTGTGGGGATGGGCAGAGGACGGCGCAGCCGCAGCCTCGTGGTCCAGTTCAGGGTGCGCGGCGCCCATCGGCTTCCAGCGGCGCTTGTGGTCCGGGCGGGCGGCGCTGCGCTGGTTGTTCCTCCTGGTGACCATGCGCGGAGCCGACAGCAGGAGATCAGACAACATTAATCTTCTAGGATGGAGAGAGATGACTTCACAAGGGATAAATAGAACTTTTATTTAAATAAACATTTGTGAACATCTTTATACAAATTACAAGTCCCCACAAAATCCTCCGGCTCCGCCTCAGGCGCCGAAGCTGCCGGGAGGGCCTTTGAGCAGATCCACCAGGATGTCGAGCAGCTGGCTGTGCTGGTGGTGCAGGTCGCCGGGGATGGCCGCCATCTCGTAGCACAGACACGTCTCCACCATCTTGGAGAGCGAGACGCGGAAGTCGCGCAGCAGGCGGATGGTGTAGGAGTCGCCCTCCAGCACCAGGAGGTCGCTGTCCGTCAGGGAGACGGTCGCTCGCCAGCCGTCGTCTTGGTGGGGAGAAGAGAGCGGGTGAGGAGCCAGAATGGGGTGGAGCTGCTGCTCTGCCTCTGCCAGGGGCACCACTGGCACTGCACGGCTCGCAGGGCCTCGGCTGGGCCAAGCCAACCCTGGGCACGGGGCAGAGCTCCAGGCTGCCTGCACCACTGGGCTGGAGCCCAGCAGCAGCAGCATCCAAAGTGCAGGGGCTAAAGCAGCACACAGCAGGAATCACAGATGGATTGGCCTGGGTTGCAAAGGAGCACGATGCTCATCCAGCTCCAAGCCCTGCTGTGTGCAGGTCGCCAACCAGCAGCCCAGGCTGCCCAGAGCCACATCCAGCCTGGCCTTGAATGCCTGCAGGGATGGGGCATCCACAGCCTCCTTGGGCAACCTGTGCCAGTGCCTCACCACCCTCTGGCTCAAAAGCTTCCTCCTCACATCCAACCCAAACCTCCCCTGTCTCACTTTAAAACCATTCCCCTTGTTCCATCACCACCCACCCTCACACACAGCCATTCCCCTCCTGTTTATCTGCTCTCTTCAAGCACTGAAGGCCACCATGAGGTCTCCCTGCACCCTTCTCTTCTCCAAGCTCAACAAGCCCAGTTCCCTCAACCTTTCCTCAAGCAGAGCTGCTCCAGCCCTCTGAGCACCTCAGTGCCTCCTCTGGACCCGCTCCATGAGCTCTGTGCCTTTCTTGTGCTGGGGGCCCCAGGCCTGGAGGCAGTGCTGCAGACGGGGCCTCACAAGAGCCGAGCAGAGGACAGACCCTGCTCCTCCCCTGAAGCCCAGCCCAGCAAATCCCTCCCCCAGGGCTCACCCCAGGCCCTGCACACTCACCTCGGACGTGGATGTCGGTGTCAGTCATGAGCAGCACAGCCAGCGGGTGGACCTGGGAGGAGTCCCGCACAAACACCCCTCCGTTGGACTTCACGGCCATGAAATAGGTCAGCCAGCGACTGTACAGCTTGGAGGCCTCCCTGCACAGGGGAGCCCTGTCAGCCATCGCCGGACGCAGCAGAGCCCCGAGGCTCTGGGCCGGTGCGTTCACACGCGTGGCTCGCTCACCTGTTGATGGTTGACTTGTGAAGCAGAACGGTGCCCGCCTTTGTCCGGTACGCGTAGCTGTTGGGCTTGAACTTCCCTTGGCGGGTCACCTTGCCTTGTCTCACCTGGAAGGAGAAGAACACCTCAGGCTCTGCCCACAGAGCAGCTTTGTCCTGCACAAGATCCCACCTGGGCGGCTCCCAGCCAGCCTACAAGAACCGAGCGGCGCAGCCCCGCTCCTCAGAGGAGGATCAGACGCCCAGCAGGGAGTGCAGAGTGGGGACCTGTACCTGGATGAGGTTGGGGTACAGTCCGGCCATGAGGACTCCCTTGACCAGTTCCTCCTCTTCACTGTACTGGTTACATACAGATGAAGGCATGGTGCAGTCAGATGGCGAGGACACCAGGAAGGCTTCGTAGAGGTTCTCTGAGAACTGCTTGACAAGGCCTGCGGGGAACAGACGGCACTGCTGAACCCTCTGCTCTCCCACCAGCAACGAAACGACCCCAGCAGGGCAGCTCCAGCTCCAGCTCAGCTTGGAGGCTCTGCCTTGGCACCAGAACAGACTTTCCTGCCTGTGGCCTCCTGCAGCCGGGGCTGCCTCTGCACTCCTGAATTCCAAAGCCAGGATTCACCTGCAGGCCAATCCCATTTCTGCACTCTGCTTTTCATAGAGTCATTCGGGTTGGAAAAACCCTCTGAGACCCACAAGCCCAAGCCCACCCTGCCCACTGACCACAGTCCTGAGTGCCACATTCCCACAGTTCTGGTCACCCCCAGGGCTGGTAACCCCCCCCATTCCCTGGGCAGCCGTGCCAGTGTCCAACCACTCCTAGGGAGTAGTTGTTCCTAATATCCAACCTGAACATCCCCCTGTTGGAACTTGAGGCCATCACCTCTCATACTATTGCTTCTAGGAGCAGAGGCCAAACCCACCTCACCCCAACCTTTCAGGAGCTGTGGGGAGCAGCGAGGCCTCCCCTAAGCCTCCTCTGCTCCAGACTGCCCCATCCCACTTCCCTCAGCCACTCCCCGTAGCACCGTGGCTCCAGACCCCTCCAGCTCTGCTGCCCCTCTCTGGACACACTCCTGTCCCCCCACATCTTTCTGACAGCGCGGGGCCCAGCACAGCACTGAGGTATTAAACAGGAGCAGTGCTTCAGCCTCTTCAGGGGACAGGAGGAGAAGCAGGCGCGTGGGACTCACCGTTGATGAAGCGAAGGCTGGGGCCATACAGGTAGTAGTCCTGCAGGTAGTTATCCCTGGCACGGCTGTCTCTGCGTCTCAGCACCTCCTCCCAGCCCGCCACGGCTCTGACAAAGGCGAGGTGATCGCTCCCACTTTCCCTGCTCAGAACGGCCTTGGCCTGGCAGAGGGACGCAAGGTCAGCCAGGCGACAGCCCCTCTCCTGCCCCCTCCCACCCTTCTCCTGGAGGTCTCCTCACCTTGTCCACCTCCGCACGGTTCTGCAGGCTGCTGCTGAAGGGGTCCCGGGTGAGGCAGGAAACGATGACGAGCAGAGGGTGGAGGCAGCGGTAGATGGACGCCAGGACGATGGCCTTTGCCAGCCGAGGGTCTGTGGAGATCTGGGCAAGGCGTTTGCCCAGCGTGGTGAGGGCTTCTCGCTGGTCCAGCACCCCTGCAACAGAGCCGCACGCGAGGGCGTCAGCAGCAGCTCCAAGCAGGAGACAAGTGGCAGCCAGCTGCTTTGGGGATCCGCCAGGAGGATCTCAGTGCTTGGATTATTTGGTGTAAGCCGATAAAGCACGCAGCACAGGGGCCATGGAATCTCAGAATGCTTGGGGTTGGAAAGGACCCCGAGAGCCCCCCACGTCCAACCCCTGCCATGGGCCCAGAGCCCAGTCACAGCCTCAGGCACCTCTCCAAGGGCGGGCAGCGCAGCTTGGGGCGCCTCACCAACTTCTGAGTAAAGATCTCCCCTCTCCTTGAGCAAAGCAGTGCAGGAAATGAACCAGCACCACAATGTGTGCTGTCGCCATCCTTATCTGGGGACAATCCTGCCCAGTCTGTCCCACAGGATCCTGTGCCAGCTCTCACTTCCCACATTCAGACAGCAAACACGTTCCCATCACACCCACACCAGGACATTGCATTAGCTCACCGATTTCCTGCAGCAAAATCACTGCTTCATCCACAGCTTTGATGTCAGGGCTGTCCAGAGCCTTGGAGAGAAATTCAACTGCCTGCAATACACAGAGGGAAAACAAAAGGCATGTTTCCCAGCACATGGAAAAGCCTCCATGAGCCCACTGTTCTGCCCCAGGGCCATGAGTTCCCCTCGTTTCCCCTACAGGGACATAAGCACAGTCCTCTCCACTCACGCACAGAGTCTAGCTCTAGACATACTCATCAAAATAATCTCTGTGTTTTCTGGTCTTCTCTGGATAGCAGTGCATTTGGGGAAGCAAGAACTAGAGCCATCAGCACTGGATTGAGGCAGAGAGCTCATCTCTGGAGCGGGCCCCCGGCACGCCGCATCCTGCTTCAATTGGCTGCTTACTGTTTTCTCTGGCATGTGGATCTTGGCCTGAACCACCAGGTTCTCCAGCGGGGTGCGCAGGATCTCTGGCACCTGGTACGTTGGCATCTTGTCCAGGCGGCTGCGAGGGAAGAGGTGATAGGCAAACCCCGACTGGCAGCGGCCGGCGCGCCCTCGCCGCTGCACCACGTTCGATTTGGACACCCAGACTGTTTCCAGGCAAGACACCTGGAAGAAGAAGGATCAGATATGAATGCTCCTGCAGCTCTCTGCCCTGCACAGCCACAGCCTTCCATCCGGTCTGCAGACCCCAGGAACTCCTCACAACCCACCAACGGGAAGGGAAGCCCCGTCGTCCTCCTGCATCCCAGCACTGCCGCTCCCCAGCGAGCAGCGGCGCAGAGGCCTGAGGCACTCAGCACACGGGTGCCATCAGGATGCCATCTGCCTGCAAAGCTCAGCGCTCCCCTCGGCCCTGGTACCTTGGTCTTCAGGTCATAGCGCTCCTCCTTGTGCGTGCCACTGTCCACCACGTGGACGATGTCGTTGATGGTGATGGAGGTCTCAGCGATGTTGGTGGCCAGGACGATCTTCCTGACGCCAGGTGGAGGCCGCTGGAAGATGTTCTGTTGGTCCATCATGGGGATGTTGGAGTGCACTGGCAGGGAAAAGCAGAGTCAGCCCTGCCCTGCTGAGCTGCTTTGCTGCACGAGGACGAGGTGATTGGCACCACCAGAACATCATCCCATCCCTTCCCCAGTCCTTCAGCTTCCCCTTTTCAAAAGGTCTGAGGCAGGAGATGGACAGCCCCACTGCTGCCTGGTTTCACTCCATCAGAAATGCATGCTGACAAGAGCCCGTAACATTTTTATATCCTGTTTTCCATACTACAAATCAGTGACAGAGAGATTTCCAGCAACTGCACAAAGGGCAGGGAAGCACGGGAACGTGCAGTTCTGTCAGAGCACCTGCATTAATCAGCAACTGAGCTGTTCAGAGATGCACCCCTCTGACCTGTCTGACACTGAATGCAGAAGACTGTTAAAGCAAGAAATCCAAAACAGAACAAAAATCTTTCAAGCTTTGCAGGGAAATACTGACTTGTTCTGTATCCCAGGAGGGAAACCTAAAACATGACATTCATAAGTAGAAGGTGAGCAACAGACATCCCACAAAACAGTCCCAAAGAGCTCTTCTATCAAGGCTCCAGTGACACGGAATGCATCAGTCTCCTCCTCACCTAACTCTGCACTGCTGGAGGCAGACAGGAAGGCAGCTTACCTGATCTCACACAGGTTTGGCCAGCCTCTGCTAGCAGTTATTTGTGCTTTACGCGCACTCCTCACACATCAGAGCACACAGACTCGCTCTGTATCTACGTGCAGCTGCTGGAGGGGTTCATGCAGTCAGCTGCCCCTCTCCTGGCTGCTGGGGAGAAGCCTGGCCCATCTCACCTGGCAGGACGAGGTACCGGCTGTTCTGAGAGCCCAGCATCTCCAGCAGGCGCTGCTGCACCCCTTTGATTTCCTGCCACCCGGGCAGGAAGCAGAGGATCCCACCTGTAACAGAGCAAGAACAAGTGGTGTGGGAATGCAAGCATCCTCCCCAGCTGGGGACACAGAAACTGCTGCTGCTGCACAGACAGAACGTGCCCTGAATTTCCCCTCGGCCCAAGAAACCTGCACAGCAGGGCCCAGGGCTGTGATGCCCACTGCCAGCTGATGACTAAAGGAACTGCCATCGTACTTCTGAACAAGGGACAGGCACAGCCATTGAGGGCAGCCCATCCCAGCACCTGCTGCATCCAATTCTGTGAACAGAACAGAGCTGAAAACCAGAAAGGAACAAGGCTAGCTGCATTCTGGGAGTGAATATCTTCTATCAGCCTTAAAACATTGAAAGCCCTTAGAAGTAATTGTAGAATACTGCCTTCTTCACAACCCCAACACCTCCTAGGGAACGGCACCTAGTGGGGATGGTTCTGCAGTACAGGAATGTAACCAAACAGTGCAGCACAGGCTGGTGCACAAATGAGTCCAGCACTCCAGCCCAGCAACTGCTGGACCTCGGGACACCACGACTGAGGCACCAGTGCAGGATCAGCACCCAACCCAGCCCCCAGAGACCCTTCTGGACTCCAGAAATAAATCTGAGGGACTGCTGTGAGCACTGTTCACTTCCTCTGGCTGAGACGTGGAGGACTCAGATGTTGGCTCAGTCAGAGACTCAGAGTGAGGTCACATCACACTGCCTGCCACCGCTCACTGCAGCAGGAATGCAGGGTGCTCTGGCAGTGTTTTCTCTGCCAGGGGTCTGGGCTCTGCAGATACCACTTCTCTTTTTCCCCCAGGAAGAGTAAAAGGGAAGGGGGCAAAACAGAACCTACCTGGTTCTCCATGGGCGTCAATCTGGAGTACAAGGTCGGTGATCAGATCAAGATCAAGGACACATTCATCATCTGATTGCTGGATAAAACAGTAAGCACAGCAAGGTAACGTTTTGATACAGGTACTAAGGGAGCTGACAGGAAGAGTGCCATCCCAGCTCTGCTGTTTGTAAATAGAGAAGGTTTCACGGGTGAAGCGATGAGTGGTGGCTGCCTCAACCACAGTGATCATGCAATGGCTGAGCTGAAAATCTCGGGCGATACGGAGAAGACAGGCAGCAGAGCCACTGCCATGGGCTGTAGGAGAGCAGGCTGCTCGAGGAACTGGTCAGGAATGGGAAGGGGGCCCCCACTGGTGGTGGATTTGAAGAGCCATCTCTTCAGAGGGTGGGAACAGGCAATTCCAGCGTGCTGGAAGCCAAGCAAGCAGGCAGAAGGCAGCCTGCTGAAGAGGGAACTCCTGGAGCTCAGGCAGAAAAGCAAAGCGTGCGGGCTTGGAAGCAAGGTCAGGATATACAGAAGGACTACAGAGGTGCCCTCTGCCTTCACAGGAAGAAGCTCACATGGCCAAAGCTCCGAACCGAAGCTGTGATGGATAGTTAGAAAGAAGTGGTGCATTCTTTTGTTGTATTGATTTTTACTTGATAAAGTTGGCCATCCAAACAGGGATAAGATAAAGCAGACATTTAATGGCTTCTTCACCTCCACCTTAACATCAACCCTGGGTTGGAGCACCACAACCTAGGAGTGATAAGCTCCCAGCTGACTTGATTTACTGCTGCAACTGAATGCAGTTAGTCTATGGACTCCAATGGGATTCATCCCAGGGTCCTGAAAGGCCTCTCTGTTACCTGCTGCCAGTCTTAGGAATTTGGTCAGTCCTGGTCAACTGGAAGCTTGCTCACATTACTCTGATCTTTAAAAAGGGCAAGAAAGATGATGGTGGTAATCAGTACCTGAAAACTTCTGAAGGCTGTTCTAGGAGTTAGTGAAGAAACACTTGCAAGATGCCATCAGTCAGAACCAACATGGGTTCACAGCAGACCAGTCGTTCCTTCTAGCTTTACAGTCTTTTATGACAAGGTTCCACTCCCTTCTTTTCACCCACCAGCTGTGGGCTATGAGGTTTCTGGCAAAGCTTTTGATAATGTCACATTATCCCTGTAGACAAAGGGCCCAGCACACAGCCAGACACAGAGCAGTGATGGGCCAGGCTCAAAGGCTTCTAGGGCACACTGCAACATCAGCAGCCAGGCTCTGCAGGGCTTCATTTTAGGGCCAGTTCTCTTCTGTACTTCACTCAAAGACCTGGACACAAGAGTTGAGTGCACTGAATACATTTCTGGATGATACTGAACTGGGAAGAGCCACTGATTCCCTTAAGGGTAAAGAGGCCTTGCAGAGCAGCCTGATAGAGTGCCGGGCAATCACCAAGCACGTGAAATTAACTAAGAGCAAACAACCAATTCTGCAGCAGGGATGCAGTCATCCTGGATGTACACAGAGCCTGGGGACAAGTGGCAGCCCCTCAGAAGGGATCGAGGGGCTCTGCTTCACAGTAAGCTCAATAGGAGTCAGCAAGTTGCCTGAGCAGCCAGACAAGACAGGAGTCAGGGGCAGGAGTGTCCTGGGGGGCAGCAAGCACAGGTAAGCTCACTTGATGAGGTCAGTGATAGTGGTCACACTGCACTCAGCACTGCTGTGGCCTCACCTCAGAACTGCGTGCAGTACTTTGGGATCCACAATATAAAGGATATAAAATATCCAGATGTGTGCAAAGCAAGGCAACAAAGAGTGAAAGGGTTAGAGGGCACAATTTATGAGGAGCAGCTGAAGACACTTGGTCTGCTCCACTGAGAGACTGAGGGATGACTTCACTGCTGTCTGCAGCTTCCTCAAGGTGGGGAGCAGAGGAAGTGCTGATCATTGGTGGCAGAATGAAAGGGAATGGCTCCCAGCTGCATCAGGCAAGGATCAGGACAGATACTAAAGAAGAATCCTTCACTGAAGAGATGGTCAGGCACTGGGACAGGCTGCCCAGGGAAGTGGTCACAGCCTCCAGTTTGCTGGGTGCTCAAAAAGCATTTGGACAACACTCTCACATCTCCAGTTCAACTCTTAGGTTGCCCAGCGTTGGACTGAACGATCAGTATGGGCTCCTCCAATTCTGGACACTCTGTGGTCCCAGGAGGACACATGTGGAGCAATAAGCAGTGATCCAGCAGAAAGGGGCACAGAATCCCAAAACATCTTCTGGAGAGAGCAAGTGCCTGTAGCTGGATGGCCTCCCCAGGAGCAGGAAGCTCAGGAGCCTGCTCTGCTCCATCTGGCACTTGCTCCAGTCACAGCACTGCCAGCTTCCTCTGCTGTGCTGTGATTATTATGCACTGTCTTTCCTGTTCTCCAGGCTTGAAAGCTAGCTGACACTTGGGAACCTCTACTGAGCAGCACCTCATAAGTAGCAACACTTAAAGGAAATTTCATGGGACAGAACTATGCCATGCATACCCCAGGCCTTCAAATCCACCAGGCACAGAACAGCAGCTTTTATGTTTCAGTAATTTGGAACAAGTGTGTCAGGCCAGCCTAAAAGCAGCAGGGTAAAAATCCCAGCCACAGCAGAAACAGGAAGGTGGCCCTGAAAGCAACGGGACACCCTCAGCAAGTCTGCTGATAATACAAAGCTAGGAGATGTGGTTGGTACACCAGACGGTTGCTCAGACACAGACAGGAACTTCCACAGGCTGACAGAAACCTCGTGTGGTTCAGAAAGAAGAAAGCCAAAGTCTGCAGCCTCAGGAGCAAACTCCTGGACAGGCTGAGGGCCGGCCAGCTGGAAAGCTGCTTAGAATCCTGATGGACACCAAACTGAACACAGCCAGAACGAGCTCCAGCTCCCCAGGCTGCACCAAACACTGCCAGCAGGTTGGCAGAGGTGATCCTGCTCCTCAGGTGAGCACACTGCAGCCAGGTCTGGCTCCCACATGAAGCAGAGCCACCAAAGAGAGTCCAGGGAAGGGCCGTGAGATGATGAAGGTCTGGAACATGCCTGCTGTGAGGAAAGACAGAGAGCCTGGAGTAGAGGCAGCTTAACCTGTATAATTATTCAATGGGAATATCCAATATTTTATAACGAAGAAGAGGGAGCCAGGTTCTCCTTGGCAGTGCCCACTGACAGGGCAAGAGGCAACGGGCACAAATAAAATGCAGAAAATTCTATTTAAGCACAGGAAAAATCCGTCTTTACTCAGGGAGAGATTGAACACTGGAGAATCTGTGAAGTATCTACCCTTAGAGATGCTGAAAAGCTCCTCCTGAGCAGCCTGCTGGGGCTGACCATGCTCTGAGCAGGGGGGCTGGCCTAGATGAACCTGCAATGAAGGATTCTTCCAATCTCAAGCACTCTGCGGCTCCACGTCGTGCCACTGAAGCGAGGTTACCCGCAGCACAGCCCTGGAGGCACTCTCCAAAGAACAACGTGGAGCACTCAGAGCAGTTGCACAAAGCAGCCACGAAGGAACCGAGTGCTGCAGGACCACGAGTGCCTGCTAACACGACTGCTCCGAGGCACAGCCATCTGGATCCTGCACCAGACTCTCATGCTGCATACGCACAAGCACACAGAGCTGGTAGCTTACTCAGACACACACACACCTCAAAGAGGGGAAAAAAGCAACTTAAACCCAAACATGAAGCTGCCTTCACCCATACCTTAACTAAAACACAAGGGATACTGCTAAGCTGAATTTAGCTCGTGAGTGCTGACCTGCAACGAAAGCTAAGCGAACACTGCTCACGAACAACAGGAAGGAGGGACCAGTTGCAGGCCCAAACTCTCCCCCTGCTGATATGCCAAAGGCCCTCGTGCAGGGGGAAGAGCTTCAAGGCCGCGCTGCACACATACCCACCTTTATCTCGTAGTGCCGGTGTCGGTGCCTACCCAGCTTGGCCAGGATCTCCTCCAGGTAGTACTCCTTCACTGGGTACATGAAACCGGGCACCTTGACCACAGGGCAATCCCCAAAGTAATGCGAGAAGCGCTGATTGTCTCCCGTGGCGCTCATCAGGACCAGGCGCAGGTCGGGGTTGAGCTTCTGGATGCCTTTGAGCAGGATGAGCAGGAAATCCGTGTTGACGTCTCGTTCGTGGACCTCGTCGACCACGACGTGGCTGACGCCCTCCAGACTGGGGTTTCCCTGCAGCTTCCGCAGCAGGATGCCCACGGTGCAGAAGAGCAGGGCTCCTCCCCGGGCCGGGGGTTTGCTCTCCAGCCGCACCTGGTAGCCCACGTTCTTCCTCATGTTGGGACCCAATTCCTGTGCCACGCGCTGGGCCACCGAGATGGCGCTGATCCTCCTGGGCTGCGTGATGACGACGTTGCAGCGGGCGCCGCGTCCCTCCAGGATGTAATGTTCCAGCAGGAGCTGAGGGATCCTCGTGGTTTTCCCGCAGCCCGTATCTCCCGCTATCACCACCACGGGGTTCTGCTCGATGGCTGAGAGGATGGTGTCCTTGTGAGGGTCCACGGGCAGCGGGTGGCTCTCCTGCCACGAGGATCCCCTCCTCTTCCAGAGGGCCAGCAGGTTCTGACTGAGGCGCACTTCCTCCGCTTCCAGCATAGGGATGTACGTCTTCCCCGTGATGGCGTCACTGATGGCGCCCGACTCCTTGCTCAGGTTCATCATGTCATCAGCAATCCGGGGCCTGGACTCCCTGATGTCCACTGGATACTGGGAGAGACGGAGCAAGTTGTGAGGGACAGATTGGGGACAGTCATCAGAAGGAAAGGAGAAGTGCCCAAAAGGGACTCGGTCAGAGGGGTTTTGCAGTGACCAAAAAGCTGCATTCAAATCTCTTTAGACTTGGCGTAACTCAGCCCCCTAATTCTCACTTTAAATGACCTCAACTCAGACTGCAACTTGAGCAGCTCCCTGCAATTTCCTTATTGTGTCTCCTAAAGTCCAGGTTAGATATGAGGAGGAAGTTTTTCCCCCAGAGGGTGGTGAGGCACTGGCACAGGTTGCCCAAGGAGGCTGTGGATGCCCCAGCCCTGCAGGCATTCAAGGCCAGGCTGGATGTGGCTCTGGGCAGCCTGGGCTGCTGGCAACCTGCACACAGCAGGGGTTGGAACAGATGAGCATCGTGCTCCTTTGCAACCCAGGCCAATCTGTGATTCTACGATCTGTCCTGACAGAAACACTAACACCAATGTGAAACTGACAGGCACAGAACTGTACCTTACACTCTCCAACTCAGTGTCTACACTGTATGCAAGCGATGCATCCACCCCAGAAACCAAATGTTTGATGCCATCAAGTTGTCCCACCACTCTCCTCATGCTGAGGAAGTCCAGACAGGTAACTTGCACAAAATTTAAGTGCTTAGCTAGGCCAGAAATATTCAGTCCTGGTTAAATTTAAAGCCAAACATCCCACAGAAATAACTAAAAAGGAGCAACAGTGGAATTGAGAGGAACACAAACCAAACCATAGACCCAGGTGTTCAGAGGATGAAAGGTCCAGCTGCAGATCAGTAGTTCTGGATTCAGGCTTCTTCAGAGTCACAAAAGCAAGCCTTGCATGCACTGTGACAGCTCGTGGCAACGTACACATGGAGGCAGACCAGGCACTCACAAGATGTTGCTGTTTTTCTAACTTTTCCAACCCTTGATTCAGCCACTTAGAACAGCTCACTGAGAAACAGCTGCTGCCTTAGGCACAGGCTTGGCTTCCTAACATTCTCACCACTGCTTCATTTATGGTATCTGCAAAAACTGTAAGCATCCCAGAGATCCACATCGTGCAGCTCCAAAGCGCATCAGCGTGGCACAGCGACCACCGGTCACCTTCCAAACATGGGCACTATTTCCAATGACTTCAATTAGCTGCAGACTTTATACCTGTGCCACACTCATCCTCAGCTAACCTCAGCACTAACTCCTGCTTTGACGATGAATGCTCCCAGGGAACCTCATCCTGTCCCCAGGGAACATTGCTTCAGCTCCTATCAGCCTCCCACCAGGGAGAGGCATCTCCTGGGTGGACACAGGCAGGTGCTGGGGGACCTGCACCCACCACTACACTGCACATACTAGAAGAGACACTGCCAAAGGAGATCTGCAAATTTACCAGCAGCTGGCCTTGTAAAGGAACAAAGCAGAACCAGTTTTAGGGAAGCAAGATCTGCTTGTAACAAAGAACCCAGAGAAGGCCCGCTGCACATAAAGGGTCTCCTTTCTCCAAGGCTCAACAAAGACTGATCAGTTCTGTGAGCCATGAACTCCCCCAGCACCACGACACAGAGTTCCCAGGCAATGTACAATTTCTGAAGTTAAAGGTGATCAACCAAAGGCGGTTCTGAGCCTTACATGATTCAGGTAGTTCTCAATCTTACGCAGGGTTGCTTCAGGGACTTTGATGTGGCACGGCTTCCTCTGGTTCTCACCAAGCTCCCGGAGGGAAGTCATGTTATACATAGCGTGGCTGAGTGGGTTGTTGTTCTTGTCCACCAGGCCAAGGCTCTGAGAAGGACAAAAGCAAAGAAGAACATCAGACGAGATGGCTGCACGCGTCACGACAACAGAGACGGGTCCAGCAGGTCCTGATGGGCTGACTGCCCACCCTGCAGTCCCAACCCTTCGTGTCCTGCTTTTACCAGGGCAAGGAACAGGAGATGTTCCTATTGCAGAAATGGACACGTGGAAGCAAAAGGCTTCACTCCTTCAGCATGGTGCTCACAAGGTCTCAGTAAGACCTGTCAAAGAAACCACAGCCACAGCCGTTTGTGACAAAACCCTGCTGGCATGGGCTATTAACTCTCCTGCTGCAGCCCTGGTACGCTGGGACAGCTCAGTACCAAGCCTTATGCTGTTTTCCTGGACTTCCTCTGATGGCTTTAGAGTCCACAGAGAAACCTAACGCAGCCATGTTGCCAGATGAGCTCATCTATGAAACAGGAAGGCAGTCTGTCCCAGCAGAAACTGAGGTGTCCAAGAGAGCAACACTTCGAGAGCAATCCCCACCCATCACTTGTTGAGAGCTCAAAACAGCCTTAAAGGGTCATCACAGGTTTGATACCAGAGGGGTACAACAGCAACTGGGATTGATTCCAGAGGTTTGGAAATATAGGTTTACTGGGTATGAAATCAGAGGTAAGGAAGTTTCACACGCCATCACATCAGGCTCAAATATGGAGAATCAGGTGCAAGGAGCATCTCTGTGTGACAGGAGGGAGCCGTGTGTGCTTACCTTCAGCTTCTGACAGGCCAAGGCTGCTGCTTTGTTTTCTGCCTCCACTTTACGACGGCCCTTGGCTGCAAAAGTCATGGGACAGGGCCAGCGCAGCGTCAGCTTGCAGATCTTGGTCTTGGTGCCAACCGTACGGAACTGCATGTATTCCTGAAGGGTGGGAGAGAGGGGTGAGAGCCCGGCACAGGCTGACTTTAAAAGACAGCCTAACACTTCTAAGCAGTGTTTACTGCACAGAATTCCAGATGCCCCATCCCTGGAGGCGCTCAAGGCCAGGCTGGATGTGGCTCTGGGCAGCCTGATGTGCTGCACACAGCAAGGGGTTGAAACTGGACGAGCATTGTGGGCTTCTGCAACCCAGCCATTCTATCAGCATAAATTCCACCTCAAGCCCATAAGTGGAGGCAAAAGTGAAAGCAGACAGCTGTGTGGAGAAGAACGTGTCTGACAGCACATGGGATGGAGCACAGCTAAGCACGTGGGGTCTGGAAAGGAGGTGGGTGACACACATCAAGGAGCAGAACTGCTGGATACTGGCAAGAACCGAAGCGAGGAAAGATTCCACCAGCGCAGAAATGACACAGTTCTGAGTAACACAGACTTGTATTTGGTGCAGACATTAGAGGAAATGTCAACTTATCTTAGAAAACAGACTCCTTCATGCAAACAACAGCTCCTCTATTGCCTGGACCTCAAGTAACAGCATTCCTGGTGCTTCATTTCCTTCACTCCCACCAAGACTTCTCCCACTCTTCAGGCTGATTTTTGTCAGCCTAATTAACCTCCCTTCTCCCCCCAACATCCAGCTGCCCAAAGAAGCATCCAAAGAGATTCCAACTGGAGCCTCTGAGCTTCCTCACTGCAGGTCCCAGGGCAGGGAGCAAACAGCACCTTACCTTGACTGTGGAGGAAGAGGTTGCAATCTGAATCACTTGGGCCAGGAGGTTTTTGGGAAGCGGGAACTGCGTCAGAGCACGGATGGCAGTGTTGTCATCTGTCATTTCAATGGAACCCCCTCCTCGGCTGGATGGAAGAGAACAGTTTGATATACAAACATCCACTCTATCCTCAGACCCACCTCACCTCAGGGCTGCTGCTGAGTACAGGTAACCTCAGTCACCTGATCAGGCTGCTCTTACTACTAAAATCTGTCAATTACAGAACAATCACCCTGGGCAGCAATTAAAACATTACAGCAGTATTACGAACCAGACTGAATAAATAGCTTTTAACTGATTAAAACAAACAAAAAACCAACAAGGCAGGGTTAACTTATTTCTGCACCCAACAGCATTCCTCTAAACAACCACCACCACCAGGACCCTACTGATTTTTCTCTTGCTGACTACTTGAAATGTAAGATTTCAGCTCATAAAGTCAAGCGAGCACGGTGATGAAAAGGAGCAGACTTAGCACTGCCCCCAACATTTAGGGGATTGGAAAAGGATTCCTACCTGCACTGCTTCTGGAAATAGAAATCTCTTTAGGCCCAGGACACCAAAGATGGCACTTGGGCTTTCCATTGTGAAAACCATCAGGCACAAGGGTCAGGCTGCCTCACTCGCTCTCACATACAAAACAGCACCACAGTCAGTGCTGGGCCCACCTGCAGGGGGTCCCTTGAGGGGTCTGGAACACAGGGCTGATGAGGAGAGGCTGAAGGAGCTGGGAATGTTCAGCCTGGAGAAGAGGAGCTCAGGGGAGACCTCATTGCTCTCTATAACTGCCTGAAGGGAGGTTGCAGTGAGCTGGGGGTCGGCCTCTGCTCTCTGTCATCAGTGATAGGAGCAGGGGGAATGGCTTCAAGCTACGGCAGGGGAGATTCAGGCTGGACATGAGGAAGTATTACTTCTCAGAAAGGGTGGTCAGGCAGTGGAATGGATGCCCAGGGAGGTGGTGGAGTCACCGAGCCTGGGAGTGTTCAAGGAAAGGCTGGATGTTGTGTTGAGGGACATGGTTTAGTGGGAGCTATTGGGGATAGGTGAACGGTTGGACTGGATGAGCTTTGAGGTCTTTTCCAACCTTGGTGATTCTATGATTCTATGATCAGCCACAAAGGAAAAAAATCTGTCTACTTTACTGCCCTGCATCAGCAGCGCCCTGGCAGACTCACCTCGCATCTCTGCCAGGAGTTCGAGCGTCCTGATGCGCCATGGGTAAATAATCAGAGACATCGATGGCCTCTTCTTCCAGCTCTCCCTCCTCCAGTTCCCCTTCCTCCAGCTCCCCTTCCTCCAGCTCTTCTCTCCTCATGGCTTTGGGCATCCTGCCCTGCTCCATGGGCTGGATGGGGTCGTCGGGCTCCATACGCCGCCAGCAGGTCGACAGGTCGGCGAGGGAAGGGCCGGACTTGGAGCGCCATTTGCCCTCCGAGCACCACCTCTCATCGGGGCAGCCCAGCTGGTCAGCCAGCAGCCGGTACTTGGCAGCGTCAAACAGCTCATTCCTGGGCCCCAGCAAACCCCAGCCCTACCAGAGAGACACGACAGTTATGGAGCAGCGGCGAGGAGGCAGAAAGGTGACAGCAGGGACCTCTGGTGAAGGAGGGAAGGGCGGGAGCGGCTCCTTCGCATCACACAGAAAGGGAACTTTCACAACCTCAAAGCTTTCCTCCAGCCAGACTTAAGGAAGGACATTCGTACACCAAGCTGCCTCCCCAAAGCACAGTTGCCTGGAATTCTGTATCTCCTTAGAAAGGCTGGGCCAGGATCTATTGGTGTTTTACAATGTTTTAATGCATTCAGCACCTTCCTGTCAAGGTCTTACCAGACCACTACAATCCATTCCACCTTCAGCTCTCAGAGGACCTCTGTTAGATAAGGCTGTATCACTCTGTGCTGTAGGAGTGCCTAGGACAGCGAGAATTCACTTTGCTGCTGTACTCAGAAGCCATATTCAGATGCCTCTGCCCCAATTAACAGTGCCACGCTGCCCTCATTGATGACCATTCACTTAGAGCAGCACTGGGCCTATTTCTACAGCTAGGACTACACAAGGCCTCCCATCACCAGGTTTTCCTGTTGGTTTCAGCTCTAGCTGGCAAACCACACGGCTAAAACTTTGCATGCTTAATCCATGGTTCCAGGGTTAGCTGGTTTTTGCTGTTAGTTGGTTTTTATTGTTGTTCATTTTGGTTTTGTTTGCTTTCTAGTTCTAAAGTGAGAAGAGTTCAGTGATTCCCCACATTTACAAACAGCATACTGCAACTGTTTCCCTATGAAAACTTTCAGGGTTTTAAAGACAGCCAGAAACAGTGCTTTCACTGAGTGCAGAAGAGCAGGGCTAAAACAACCACATGTTCAGTGAAGGTGAACTGAATGGGCACCAACTGTGCTGCAGGTACAGCCAATCAGAGGAACAAGTTCTGCTAATCACAGGATTCAACAAACCAGCTGAAGAAACTGCTGGCTTTAAGGCTGCAATCCTTGAGATCTGAAGGCTCAGCTTGAAAACTAAACAGTTACTTCTAAATGCACGTTTCTTGGTCTACAAGCAAATTACAAGTTCTCCTGTTGTTGGAGCACCTGCAGCACCTCCTCCAGGCTCCTTAGCAGGAAGCACTGCTCCTACTCCTGGATGAGAGGGAAACTCCACACAGGCCAACTAAGAAGGTCAACAGGCAAAGACAGAGAAATTCAGAAGGGGTATCAGCAGAACAGGCAAGGCCTGCATGCTCAAAGGCTCGTTTCATCAAGTTATGGAGGAAGAACAAAAGCTCACCTTGAAGAGCTGGCACGCAGCAGCTGCCGCTTGTCTCTCAGCATCAATCTTCTTGGTCCCATAGCCTTCTACTTCCACATTCTTAGGCCACTTTATGTGCAAAGTGACTTTCTGAAATGCAAAGAACACCAGAAGCTGAACTCTGCCCTTTTAAAAAACCATCCCACATCCAGAACTCATTCCACTCCCAGCCCTGCTGATCTGTAGCTGAATTTCTCTAAAGCTCAAAGAGGATATGCCCAAGGAATTCTCTCCTGTTGCTGCAGCAAAGATGAAAGTTATGACCTTGTTGCTATCACGGAAACATGGTGGGATGACTCCCATAACTGGAACACCACCACTGAGGGCTCCTGGCTCTTTACAAGGGATGGGTGAGGTAGGAAGGCTGGGGGAGTTGCCCTCCACGTCCAGGAGTGGATAGACTGTGAGCAGCTCCCTCTGAGAAACAGGCAGGAACAGCTTGAGAGCCCATGGGTTAAAGTTAGGGATGGGACCAACAAAGGCCAGCTGGTGGCAGGCAGAATCTACAGGCCACCTGACCAAGAGGAGTCTGTTGGCAAGGCTTCCTTGCTTCAGATGTGTCGTGCTCACAGCTCTCGTCCTGATGGAGGGCCTTCAACCACCCAGAGATCTGTTGGAAAGACCACACAGCGAGCTGCAAGAGGTGCAGGAGGCTCCTGGAATCCCTTGATAACCTTCTGGTCCAGGTGTTGGACAGACCGACCAGAGGTGAAGCGCTGCTGGACCTGCTGCTCACCAGTGTGGATGAGATGATTAATTAAAGGCGTTAAGGTTGGAGGCAGCCTAGGGTGCAACGAGCACAGCCTGGTCGAGTTCGTGATCTCGAGGGATGTGGCACCAGGTCCTGAACTTTGGGAGTGTGAACTTTAAGCTGTTCAATGTTGGCCGAGATTCCCCAGGATGCTGTCTTTAAAAACAAAGATGTTGAGGAGAGCTGGCTGCTCTTCAAGGATGCCTTCCTGAGAGCACAAGAGCTCTCCATCCCTCTGAATGAGAAAGCGGGCAGAGGAGGCAGGAAACCAGTGTGGCTCAGTAAGGACTTGCTGGGCAGCTGAGGGCAAAGAAAGGGCAACAAGCTCTGCAAACAAGGCTGTGTCAGCTGGGAAGAACACAGGGATGGAGTCTGGACTTGCAGACGTGGGATCAGGAAAGCCAAGGCAGAACTTGGTGAGGGATGTGAAAAACAATAGGGAGACTTTCTACAGGTACATTGGGCAGAAGAGACAGGCCACAGTGAGTGTGCCTCCTTCGTAAATGCAAAAGGAGAACTGGCTGCAATGGATGGAGAGGAGGCTGAGGGACCCAATGGGTTCTTTGCCTCGGTCTTCACTGGCGGCCAGGATTCCAGTTCTTCTCATGTCCCTGAGCCCTGCATCCCTAAACCTCCAGGTGGGGACTGGGGCAGTAAATCCCCCCCACTGTGAGGACAGAGCAGGTCTGAGACTGCTTCACGAGACTCAATGTGCACAAGTCTACGGGCCAGGTGGCTGCAGCCCAGGGCTCCGAAGGAGCTGAGGTGGCTGCTGAGCTGCTCTCCATCATATCTGAAAAGTCATGGCTGTCAGGTGAGGTCCTGGGTGACTGCAGGAAGGGTCAGGTCACTGCCATGGACAAGAAAGGGAGCAAGGAGGACATGGGAACTACAGGATGGTGAGTCTCACCTCTGTGCCTGGGAAGATCGTGGAACAGATCCTCCTGGACGACATGCCTGATCACATGAGGAATGGGCGAGTGATCCGAGCCAGCCAGCACGGCTTCACCACAGGAAGGTCGTGCTTGACCAACCTGGGGGCCTTCTGTGATGGAGTGACAGCAACGGTGGACAAGGGGAAGGCAACCAATGTCATTTAGCCGGACCTGAGCGAGGCCTTGCACACGGTCCCCCACCACATCCTCATCTCCAAATGGGAGGGATGTGGATTTGAAGGGTGACCACTCAATGGATAAGAAACTGGTTGAAAGGCCACAGACAGAGGGTGGTCATCAATGGCTCTGTGTCCAGGTGGAGGCCGGTAACGAGCGGCGTCCCCCAGGGCTCTGTGTTGGGACCAGTGCTCTGTAATATCTTCATCACGACAGCGATGGCAGAATCGAGTGCAGCCTCAGCCATTTGCTGATGACAGCCTCAGCCATTTGCTGAGTGGCGCAGGCGATGCGGTGGAAGGAAGGGATGCCATGCAGAGGGACCTTGAGAGGCTGGAAAGGTGGGAACAGGTGAACCTGATGAGGTTCAACACAGCAAAGGGCAGAGTTTTGCTCTTGGGCCGGAGGAATCCCAGGCATCCATACAGAATGGAAGGAGCGGTGCTTGAGAGCAGCCCTGTGGAGAAGGACCTGGGGGTCCTGATGGATGAAAAGCTGAATGTGAGCCAGCAGTGTGCTCTTGTAGCTTGGAAGGCAAATGGTATCCTGGGCTGCATCAGCAGAGGGGTGGCAGCAGGGACAGGGAGGTGATTGTCCCTCTCTACTCTGCCCTCGTGTGTCCCCATCTGCAGCACTGTGTCCAGGTCTGGAGCCCCCAGGACAAGAAAGACAGGGAGCTGTTGGAGAGGGTCCAGAGGAGCCACAAAGATGCTCAGAGGGCTGCAGCACCTCCCTACAAAGACAGGCTGAGGGAGCTGGGCTTGTTCAGCATGGAGGAGAGAAGCTGCGGGGTGACCTCAGTGCAGCCTGCAGTGCCTGAAGGGAGCCTGCAGCCAGGAGGGGAGTCAGCTCTGTGCAAGGGGAGATGGCAGCAGGACGAGGGAAATGGTTTGGAGCTGAGGGAGGGCAGCTGGAGGTTGGATGTCAGGGGAAGTTGTGTGCTGTGAGAGCGGGGAGGGGCTGGAACAGCTGCCCAGAGAGGCTGTGATGCCCCGTCCATCCCTGGAGGTGTTGGAGGCCAGGTTGGATGGGGCCCTGGGCAGCCTGGGCTGCTGTGCAATGGGGAGGTTGGTGGCCCTGCATTGGTGGGGGGCTGGAGCTTCGTGATCCTTGGGGTCCTTTCCAACATGGGCCATTCTGTGATGCTGTTGAGGTGGTGTTCAGGTCTGCTGGAAAAGCCCCACCTACAAGGATCTGCTTCTCAACAGCCTCCACCCATCTGCCTGCCTGCAACCTGAATCTCATCTTACCCCAGGAAATTGCTGCATGTTTGCTGAGGGGCTCTGCATGAAGAGGCAGACCTGCTGAGGAAAGAGCTGCTGAAGGCCAACATACTCAGCACTCAAAAAGAAGTCTTGTCCTCTTCCAAACAAGACTTCCCCACTTTGCCTCGCTCATTCTGCCGTCTCTGCACTTTTTCAGCACAGGCACTGCATCGCACAACATACATTAGAAAACTGCAGTACTGCTTGAGGAAAAGCAGGCAATGCACCCACAGATAACAAAGCAACTCTGAAGTACCCATGGCAGGGGGCTGGCACTAGATGATCGCCCTGGTCCTTTTCAACCCAGGCCATTCTATGACTCTGTACCCATTTTGATGCATCGCCTAAAACAGAGATGCTCACAGAGGATGAGGTCACGAAAACCACCCGGGAAATTTTAAGATAGAACATTATTGCAAAATGTGACTCTATCCAAACTGAAATCCTGGAATGGATGTTCAACTTCAGCTGGAAAGGCCGCCCTGCTCTGCAGTGGGAGGGCTGGGGCTGTGTGGCAGAAGGAGCTGAGCCCTCAGGACAGCTGCTGCATTCACAGCACAGGCTGGGATGTGAGCCCTGCACCAAGGAGGGCTCCGATTCTTTGGCAAAACATCTGCCTGGAATTCCTCTCCTTCATTCAACAACAACAAACCCTGGGTTTCCCTTTGCCCTTAATTGTACGAGAAGCCTCCCTCCGTTGCAAGCAAATTCTCCTTTTCTGATTGCAATTAAACATTTTAGGCTTTCTTGGGCATTTTCTCTATTAGAACATAAAAACAACAAAATCCAGCCCTGCTAGGGTCTGAAACACAGCCCTTTGCTTTCTGTTTCTAAGGCGGTGGGTTACACAGCCCAACACACGTGAGGGCAGACCGTGCACCTTCCTGCTGAGAACAGCAAGGAAAGAATTCACCCTTCCACGTTCCAAAGGAGGACAGGATTTACATCTATGCACTACTAAACCATGTGAAAATAGAGAACAGGGAGGGAGAAAACCTTCAGTCTGAAAGATTATCCTCCAACTACCACATGGAATTAAAGCAGCGATGACATTTTCTCTATTAAAGGCTCACTTCCAGGTGTAGAAGCATTCCTGGCTCACTCTCCCTCCTGTGCACCACAGCTGCCATCCCCAGCACAGCAGGCTTACCTTTTTTCTGGGCCCGTTGGTATGGATGTACACCAGTTTGTCCCTTGCATGGGAAATGCCCAAGGCCCGTCCAATCACGCTGTTGAGCAAATTCTTGGGCTGCGGGAATTCCTTTAACAGGTCTCTGGAATCTGGAGGGCAAAAACCAACAGGAGATGTAAATGACTTCAATCCCCGTGCAGTCCTGTTCCAGGCGTGCTGCAACACCAGAGCACACATTTCTCTGAGCTCACAGACAGCCCAGCAGGCACAGCTATGCAGTGGTCCACATCCAACATCTCCAGGCATTGGGGAATGGTGCACAGCAGGATGATGCCTCCTGAGAGCCAGATACAAGGCAGCACTGCACATCCACAACACCCAACACTATTCTATCTGCAATGCTTTTCCTGGAACGCAGAGCTTTGCTGTTCCCCCTTCCAAAACAATAGTAATACTCCCTGCAGCACCCACACAGCCCGACTCCGTGACTCAGAGGTGCTAAGACCACCCCAAACTGCCATGGCATCGCTTCCCCATCCCCCCAAAACACACTGACAACAGGGAAACCAACATTCTGAATACACCTGATGGATCCTGAATGCAAATATCCCAGCACAGAACTCAAAGCCCAGCTCAGTGTGAGGAGCCAGCGCTGTTTCCTCGCTATGAAGGCAGAGGAGGCTCTGTGTGTCACTCTTTGATGTCCAAACCCAACCGAGCAGTAACTGGAGCAGACTCTGATGTCTGCATGCACCCCTGAAGCACACACGTCACCCTGGGGTTACAGCCGGGCTCTCAGCCCCACACACTGCACGTTAGATCCAGTCATCACACATGGAAGAGGTGAAATAACACACTGGGCCTTCCTGCTGCATCTCGAGTCCCTTCTGCTCCGAAGCTCTCGCTTAGCAGCTGGAAATGTGCTTTGTACAACACTGCTCACTGGTTCAGCTCCACACGTTGGTGGTTAAGCTGCAGCCCTGGTCTGCCAGAAAGCTCATCCAGAAGAGCAGAGCACAGTTATTGCTGGGTTCAGAATTAAAGCCATCGGCTGCACAGACCTGCAGAGCCCCAGTGGCAGCGCCAGAACCCACCAGCAGTTGTGGAGCACGCACTGAGCTCTGCCCTGTGAGGAGCAGGCTGAAGGATCACCAAGCAGAGCCAGCGCAGCGTCCCAGAGTCCAAGTTCCTGCACTGCCTGCTCCTTCTCACTGAGGGAGATGGGGACTGGCAGCAGAAGCACAGCGAGAGCAGCCCCCAAACAGTGTGCTACACAACCACCCCTCTGCTAGAGCAGGTGGAGCATCGAGCCAGGAAGGAGCAATGAGCCACACGTGGCTCCCACAGCTACCAGCTCGTCCTCCTGAGAACAGCGACCGCAGTCACTGTAACAAAGACACAGGGACTGCTTCCAGCAAGCACTGCACAGCTCTGTCATCCCCAGAGCAGCTGCACGGCACAAGAATACTGCAGGGAGCTGTGCAGCACCAGCGCTCACCGGGAAGCAGAGCAACACAGCACGGGGTTGTAGTGAAGGAGTTACCCTGCACCACAGCTTGGCAGGCTGCAGGTTAAGGTAGAACAAAAACAGTGCTCCTCACGTAACCCATCCCAACAATAACAAAACTGATCCGAGGGACACAAAAAGACCCATTACTGCTGACAGGTTTGACAGTTCTTCCTCCAAAGCGCACAAGAAGCAGCTGAATGGCAGGGAAATCGTTTCCAGAAGCCAAGAGGAGCAGGCAGTGCAGGAACTTGGGACTCCGTGGCACACGCTGGGACACCGTGCTGCCTCTGCTTGGTGCTACTTCAGCCTGCTCAGCAGCAGGCAGCGCTCAGGGCATGCACCAGGACTGCCACCTGCACTGCCACAGCAGCACACAGCAGCATCGAGCTGCCACTGCTCTCCATGGGTGACAATCACCACAGCATCACTGACAGCAAAGCCCTCAGGCTGCTGTTTCTCACTCGCAGGTGAATGCAGCAGCAGAGCAGATGTCCCTGCACCAAACCACCTCCTAAGTGCCACCTGGACAGCAGGAGCCAACACGCTAGCAGCCAATACCGGCAGCTGCACAGCAAACACAGAGCAGCACGCTGTCAGTGCACCTCACAGCATCACCTGCTGAGCAGTGACTGAAATCGCAGCCCTCCTCAATCCTGATTTCCATCCCTGGACACACGGAGGAAGGAGCAGCAGCACGATTCCCAAGCGCGCCATTCAATTCACTTAATAAATGGGAAATAAATAATAACCTCGAGCAGCAGCCTGTATTATTTGGCCTCTGGTTGCTTCCCCTTTCAAGAAGGATACCCCGAGGAATTGTGTGATACGGAACAGATGGAGGCAAGAGGGACATTGTTGGTAAATGCCCAAAAAACAACTCGTTGACTTAAGGATTGAACCAATCTCTCAGATTCTGAGGTGACTTCGCGGCAAGGACCAAATACTGAAGTCATCCTCATGCAAAGCACAGGATCCTTAAATAACAAAGCTCAGTTCTGGCTTGCAGATCAGACCCTGAATTGCCAACCCAGACACAATGTCTTCTCCCCAGCTGACAATGCCATATTCAGCAGCACCATCTGACACACCAACAGCACTCAGAGGTTTGATGGATTGCCCTCAGCCCATCCATAGCCTGAAATCAGAAGCTGAAAGGATCTTTCTTTGCACGAAGCCATGCCTCGCTCACAGCTTTTAAAGAAACAATTCCCAAACTGCAGCAGAGGATTTGCAGAACGTTTCCTCCCTGACAGATTGGATTTCTTGGCGCCTTCATCCACAAAGCTCATGGATCCCGACTGCTGAGAACGGATATTTGGGTAGGAGCTCCATTAAAAGGAGTGTAGCTTAATACTCCCAGAACAAAACAGAGCTGATTTGCAGCCCAGCTCCAAGCCAGAACCATACATGATGTCTTTAACCTCAGTTCCAAGCCCACAAATGCTACAAGTCTGCCTTGGATAACAGACAAATCCAAAGAAGCCAATTAACTGATTTCTGTTCCTCTAAGACAGAGAGCACTGGAGCCTAACCTGGCTGTGGAAGTCAATGGTAACTCCAAGTAACGCTGAAAGAAGAAAAAAAAGCAAACAACTCCTGTGTGTAATGTAAGCCTTCTGTTACCCTTAACAGACCTGACACAAAGACACCACCAGGTACATCAGGAGCACAAACAAAATGCCCTGTACTCTCACCCAGGCAAGACAGAGGAGCATTAAATCCATCTCAGCAGTTTCTACCTTCCCCCAAATTCTCCTCCCTGAAGAAGCAACAAACAAAGCATCCCTGGAGAAGCAACAAGGAGCAGCGAGGACAAACTGTTCAACACAGCACCCATCAGGATATTAAGATATTCATCTGGGTGAAGAATGCCCCCAGTACACCAACAGTCTACATGGAGAAGAAAGCTGTGTGGCCGTGGTAGCACTTCACAAGGAAGTGGACCAAGTGTCAGTACCTATCTAACAGCCATTTAAAGCTGGCCTCAGACTGCAGTTTATTTTTCCATACTGGCAATGCTATCCACAGCTAGTAACAACAGTAATCACGTGTGGATAGCCAGCAAGGTATCGACTTGTTGAAGGCACTTGCACTTCTAAGGTTTTTAAAATGAATTTTATCATCCCTGTACCTGTGTGGGTAGGACAGGTGCACAACAAGACCTTGGGGATGGTTCTATTCACTTATCTGACACAAAGCAACGTGGAGCTGCTGGAATTGGTGCAGAGGAGGCCATGCAGGAGATGGAGCATCTCTGCTATGGGGCCTGGCTGAGGGTGTTTAGCCTGGGGAGCCTTCCCTGCAGCCTGCTGCTACTTACAAACAGGAGGGAGGATGACTTCTTCCTTGCTCTGATAGTGACAGGACACGGAGGAACGGTTTTAAACTAAAACCATCCACAAAACCTTCCAGATAAAGCTCTGCACAGCTCCTGCAATCGGAACTACGAACCCAAAGAACTCAAAATCACAGAATCACACAGAATCACAGAACCACAGGGTAGGACCGAGCTCTGCAGATGCCCCCATCCAACCCCCCGCTAACAGAGGCTCCTCAGTGAGCCGCACAGGAAAGCATCACAGCACAGCATCACAGCACGTCCCCGCTTGGAAGGGACCCACAAGAACGACAGGGCACAGCTCCAGGCTGCACACAGCGCTGCCCAAACGCCGCAAAGAAAACTAGAAAATAACAAATAGATGCCGTGAGGGGAGGAAGGAAGGAAGTCCCGCACATGGAGGGAGGAAAAAAAGGACAAAAAAGCCTAGAAGCGGGAAAGCTTTCGGTCTAACCGAGCGGCCGCGCACGGGGCAGCCCGCACGGCCTCGGCCCGACGCCGCCCGCCAGCGGCCCCGGCACCGCCGCGCCGCCCGGCCCCTCCGCGCGACCTTGAGCCGCTCGGCCCGGCCCAACAAAGGGCCGCACGGCCGCCGCTCCGCCCGCCGCTACCTGCGCCGCCGCCCCCCGCCTGCTCGCCCGCTCCGCGCATCCCTGGGCTCCGTCCCGCGACGGCCGCGGCCTGGGCCGGCCGGGAGCGCGCACGGGAGGGCCGCGGGCGCGCGCGCGCCGCCTCCAACCGCCCTCCCCCTCCTCGGCCCCGGGCCGCCGCTCGCTCCTCCCTTCCGCTGTGTTCGGGGCCGGCCGCGGCCCCCCCGGCCGCCTCTCCTCCTCACCCTTCACCATGGCGCCGCGCTGCTCCTCGGCGCCCGGAGGAGGCGGCCGCTCCTCCTCGTCCTCCTGCCGGGCCTCCTCCTGGCCGTCGGGCTCCGCTAATCGGGCGCACAGCCCCCGCGCCCCGCGGTAGCAGCGGCCGAGGCGCAGCGGGCCGGCCGAGCCGCAGGCGGCCGCCGCTTGCAGCAGCAGTCCCAGCGCCGCCATCTTGAGGCCGCCCGGTGCCGGCTGCGGGCCGCTGGAAAAAGGGGGGGGGATAGAGCGCCGCCTTCCTGCTACGGCGCCCCCATGCGGAGAGCGGGCGTGGAGGACTCGGCGTGGAGGACCGAGAAACGGAGAGAAAGAAAGGAGAAAAGAGAAAAAAAAATGGGGGGGGGGAAGGGAAAAAGAGGCCGCGGCGTCGTGCGGCTGCGAGGGGCTCCGCCGCTGCCTCCTACAGCCACGCGGTGCCGATGGTTCGCCCCACGCACCGAAACCCGGCCCCAAATAACGACATTTTCATCCACAAATCTCCGGCAAAACCTCCCTGCTGTGCGCGCATCCAACAGATCGCAGCGCCTCCACGGCCAGCTCAGCCAGCCCGAGGGGATCACAGGGATCAGGGATGTTCCGCGATTCATTTGGGGCTTTTTGTGGAAAAACAGACACACACAACCCCGGGAGGTTCTGCACTACCAGTTGACCAATGGTTGACCATAAGCCAGCAGCGTGCCCTGGTAGCCAAGGAGGCCCCCGGCACCCTGCGATGCACTGCACAGAGCACAGCCAGCAGGGCAGGGAGCTGCTCCTCCCCTCTGCTCTGCCCTGGGGGCGCATCAGGAGCGCTGCAGTGCGGGGCCGCCCGGCTCCAGGAGATGGGAACTGCTGCACAGAGCCCAGCTGTGGGGTGGTGGGGCCTGGAGCACCTCCTGATGGGGCAGGATGAGAGCCTGGGCTGTGTGCATGGTGGAGAGAAGGCTGAGGGATCTGAGCACTGCTGAGGGGATCTGAGCAGTGCTGAGGGGATCTGAGCAGTGCTGAGGGGATCTGAGCAGGGCTGATGGGATCTGAGCAGGGCTGATGGGATCTGAGTGGGGCTGATGGGGATCTGAGCAGTGCTGATGGGGATCTGAGCAGGGCTGATGGGGATCTGAGCAGGGCTGATGGGATCTGAGCAGTGCTGATGAGATCTGAGCAGGGCTGATGGGATCTGAGCACTGCTGATGGGGATCTGAGCAGTGCTGAGGGGATCTGAGCAGGGCTGATGAGATCTGAGCAGGGCTGATGGGATCTGAGTGGGGCTGATGGGGATCTGAGCAGTGCTGATGGGGATCTGAGCAGGGCTGATGGGGATCTGAGCAGGGCTGATGGGATCTGAGCAGTGCTGATGAGATCTGAGCAGGGCTGATGGGATCTGAGCACTGCTGATGGGGATCTGAGCAGTGCTGATGGGGATCTGAGCAGGGCTGATGGGATCTGAGCAGGGCTGGTGGGATCTGAGTGGGGCTGATGGGGATCTGAGCAGTGCTGCCCAATGCCAGGACATGGGGCAGCAGGCACAGACTGGAACACAGAACATTCCATCTGAACCTGAGGAACAACTTGCCTTTGGGAGTGACAGAGCCCTGGCACAGAGCACAGGGAGGCGCTGGACTCTCCTAATCTGGAGATGTTCAGAACCCACTTGGATGCTTTCCTGTGCAATTTACTTCAGGAGGAGTTGGACTGGGGGATCTCCAGAGGTCACAGAATCACAGAACCATAGAACAGCCTGGGTTGCAAAGGAGCACGATGCTCATCCAGCTCCAACCCCTGCTGTGTGCAGGTCACCAACCAGCAGCCCAGGCTGCCCAGAGCCACATCCAGCCTGGCCTTGAATGCCTGCAGGGATGGGGCATCCACAGCCTCCTTGGGCAACCTGTGCCAGTGCCTCACCACCCTCTGGCTCAAAAACTTCCTCCTCACATCCAACCCAAACTTCCCCTGTCTCAGTTTCAAACCATTCCCCTTGTTCCATCACCACCCACCCTCACACACAGCCGTTCCCCTCCTGTTTATCTGCTCCCTTTGGGTACTGAAGGCCACCATGAGGTCTCCCTGCAGCCTTCTCTTCTCCAAGCTCAACAAGCCCAGTTCCCTCAACCTTTCCTCACAGCAGAGCTGCTCCAGCCCTCTGCTCATCCCTTCCAACCCCTACAGCTCTGTGCCACCAACACGACTCACTTACAGCTCCAGACAGCAATGCCACCCCCTTCCCTTCTCCTTCACTGCTCTCGGGCTCCTCACAAATGACCCAATGTCTCGGGCAGAAAGCTCTCAGCACAACAGTGCTGCCTGAAATCCAAACACTACAGGGAAATTGTAGTTTTTAAAACATCCCAATTCTTTCTATTTCAAATGATAACACAAACTGTATTATCCTGCTGCAGCACACACCTGTGACTACCATCACTGCGTGGGTCTGTACAGTACGTGGGTCTGTGAATACGTTGTGTGTGAACCAAACTGTTACAGGAGAGGCTGTTTAAACACCAAGAGGAGGGATTTCTTCTTTAAATCAGAGTGAGAAATCCCCAATAAGCCCCAAAAGGATAACATGGTTAGAGCTGTACTGAGCCCATATTCCATGAGAAGAGCTTCAAGGAGCAGAAAGCCATCACACAAAATCCTGCATAGGAAAACCTCTGGAAGGGCACACATGTATGGACATCTGAAATTGGTCTTAGAGCACCAAGTTTGCCTTTTCTGATATACATGCAGTGATTTGTCTGTGGATAGTTGTTCTTACTGAGCCAACCAAAAAGCAAAGGAACAGATCTGGAAGCAGCTCCAAAAAAAAAAACCAAGAACCCTATGGGAAGGAACCCATGGCTGGAGATGAAACCACAGTGATTAAAATCAAAACAAGCAGAGGACATTGAGAAATAAGGCACGTGCTGGGGGAAATCATGGAAACACACAGCTGGAGTGAAGGAGAAACAGGGGAGAGGCTGCTGGAAGGCAGCATGCTGGCACATGGGGTCAGACATCAGTAGGGCCGGAGGTTTGCCACTGCAAGTAATGCCACAGTCAGCTCATGGGCACACAAAAAATCAGCTAAGACTGGATTTATTCAAAAATTCCAGAAGTCAGACTGCGTAAATTCCATCCAAATATCTTGATATTAAACAGCACAAACGTGGCCACTCACAGCCGTGCTCCAGGAGCTGCATGGCTGAGCTGGCTGTGATGAGCAGAGCTCTGCAGGGCTGCAGTGCTGAGCAGGAGCTCACTGCCATACCTGCTCTAAAGCCTCCCAGAGCACAGGCATTGCAGCACGGGCCCAGCCCCAGTCTGGCCACGACAAACCAGCAGCCCTCACAGGAAGGCTCCTCGCATCTGAGGGATGGAAGGCAGTGATGCAGCACCAGACCGGCCATGCTGGAGTACTTCCACCATTCTGTGCTCTTTATTTTAAGGCCAAGTCACAGAAATTAAAAAAAAAGACACAAAAAAAGCTGCTGTGGACAGGAAGGATTCCTTAGGAAAAACTGAGATCTACACGAAGAGGTTGGCAAAGCAATGGCAGCAGGGAAAGAACATGAGATTATTTCAAGCATGCAAACACCCAGGAGAAAGCACCCACTGAGCTGGTACAAAAGGACAGAGCTACGTGTGGGATGATACAGGAGGCAAGAAAGCCCTTCCTCAGAGCTAACACTTCCCTGTTCAGCTGTACTCCTGCGAGCCTATGCTGCCAGTTATTGGGTGACACAGTGGGGCCTTCCTGAACTGTGGGCTCCCTGCTGCTCCCTGGCACTGGGTGCACTCACACACACAGCACTTACTGGGGTGCTGCACCAACCCACACACAGTTCAGCCACGGTGGCTGCGACAGCTGCTCACAAACTCCATGTAAAGCAGGCTGAAAGTTTGGGGCACTGCTCACAGAATGGAAAATGTGTGGCCAACAGAACATTTGGCTCTGTGCGTTACGTCCATCGCTCACAGCTCAGGTACAGCCACAGCCTCCAGATGGATGTGGCTCTGGGCAGCCTGGGCTGCTGGTTGGTGACCTGCACACAGCAGGGGATTGGAACTGGATGAGCATCGTGCTCCTTTGCAACCCAGGCCGTTCTGTGATTCTATGATATCTGCTTCCTT